GGAGGTTGGATGTCAATGACACTGATCTCAACGCTACTTGAGGCCCTATACGGGATCCACAAGTGCACGAGTGTCGAGGTAGCGACCTGGGCGGGTGCTCTCGCAAAGGAAAGCCCATCGTACCCTCCAGTCGAGCTCCTAATACGGACAGTCTGGAGGACAGATGGCACGAGTGTGCGCCCGAATGAGGTGCTTTTTGCGCGGTCCACCCTAATCGGGAGGGACGTGCCGTTCAAAGTTTTCAAGCGTTGGGCACTGCGTGACCGAACGCCTATGGGGCCTTTGCTTAGGCCGATGGGAGCAGCAGAAGTCCCTTATACGGGATACGTGCTGCTGGCGATGGCCGAGTATCGGTCCGCCCTCAAAACGAGGTGCATCCGGAGGCCTGGCAAATTCGCCATCACAGTTTTCCCCATGCGACCTGAGCAGGTCTGCAGGGGGGAGATCATGATTGGGATGGAGGGCGCAAAGGTGCCTTTCCTCAAGTTGCCCAGCCCCAATAATGAGGGCGAATTTTATGTTGACGACCGCATCAAGTACATGGACAAGCGCCATGTCGTTGTGGCCGTTGACCTAAAGTGGATGGCCATCGAGGAAGCCGCCGGCATCTACAAAACCCGACGCGGTTTGATCGCCGTGCGGGAGGAGATACATGCGCCCTTTTGGCGCGCATGCTATCTGCGCCAGGAAGGGGATGTAATATACATCCGTCCCTGGGCGGTCCGTGAGTTGAATGTTCAGGGACCGCGGAGAGGGGTGTCATTTTCATGGGACAATGCTCCCATGCATGACTACTGGTGCCCTCGGTGCGCGCATTTGAACATGTATGGCACCATTCTATGCAATGGTTGCCATCTGCCGATTTTCTATCGTGAATGGGTGCCAGGCACCGTCCGCGCTCTGGTTAAGCATGGACAGCCAATCTGGCTGAGCGAACTCAAAGCAGTTCGCCCCAGCAGCTGGCATGAGGGGGAGACCGACGCGTGGGCCCCTCTCATGGCATCGGTAAACCCGATTCGCGAGGTGGTCAGCTGCACGATCACCGGTTTGCGCTGCGCGCCGCATCTTGTGCACATTCCCAATGCGGATATTGTGCAAGTTGCGTTTCAGGAGGTTGCAAAGGTCACCTCAAAGGACACTCACGCTTGTGTGCGGGCGAGTGATGAGGCTCTCGAGCGGTGGGTAGCGAAGCAGCTGCTCATCGAGGAGAGCAACACTGGCGTCTCGATTCCCGACAATATGTCTGTCATGGCATATTTAATCGACCACCCGCAACAGGCGGCGCAATGGGGTCGTCATATGACGAGAAAGGGCAGTCTAAATTCAGCATTTGCCCTTTACCTCTCTGTGCATATCTTTGATGCCTACCGCATCGGGATTGAGGACGGGTATTTGGTTCCGCTGTATGGCCTAGGCGCCTCACGCGCGGATATCATAATGTCGTTGGTACAGGCTGAGCGACGCCTCACGGACTTCAATACTGAAGATCCGAGTTTCGACGCTTCCACCGTTCTTGATTGGAATATCGACTCTTTGCGGGCAAGTGGTGGATCCATCACGGCCCCAATTGAGTATGCTGAGGCATACATTTATGTCGAAGTCAATAAGGTTGACATGGTCCCCGCTTCGCGGCGCGACGGCCAATGCGCCATTGTCTTTGCTGACCCGCCGGTTGGGAAGCACCACAGGCGGGCAGCCACTCCTAGGGGAGACCAACGGTCTGCTACCCCGCGACCTGAATCCAGGTCAAAGGGTGATCAACAAAAGGGCAAAGCCCCTGCACAATCCTGGCCCAAGGGCGGAGGTCACAAGGGTGACCAGTTCCCAGGAAAGGGTCACAAAGGTGATCAGTACAAAGGCAAGGGTGGCCAATACGGCTACCAACAAGGGCAGTTCGGTCGTGGCGGATCCGCCAGATCGAGAACTCCCACTGGCGGGTATCAGCCTGATGCTCGCGGGTCGGGATATAAGGGTGCTCAGGCAGCCCCTTTCCCCGTTCCCAAGTCCGATGTACCCCGCTTTCCCAATGGGAGGGTACATGCAACAGCCAATGGCTGGCATGATGCCGCAAATGTGGCCTGGCGCAATGCCGCAGAGTTGGCAGCCGCACATGCAGGGTGATCCACGCGAGTTCGAGAATCCGAACTCGCCGCATACCCCTACCTGGGGTGCGGATGATGAGTTGGCCGAGACCGTGCCTCCTCCTCCTGGGGACTGGAACGTCAACAAGGGGAGGGGACGGCACGGCGGCGGGCGACATCGGTAATACCTGGTGTCCGTCTGCATCTTTTGCGTAGCGGCGCCAACGCGCGTGTGCTTTCATTCCGGAATTCACATAATGGACAACGCTCCCTGTAGTATTTCTATGTTTGGGCTATTCGCCATTCCAGAATTCAACTGCATGCGCAGCTGTGCGCTATTCGCGCTGGCACTGATTACCTGTCAGGTGTGCGTCGCCGCAGCAAGGCAGTTACCCTCGCCGGTGTCTACGGCCGCTGGTTGTCAGCATCGTCCAGCACCGCTGCTGCTGCTGGAGATGGAACTCATCAAGGTGCTGCGGTGAGGATCACGGATGCGCTGCACCGCTGCCGGTGAGGTCCTACTCGGACCTGAACCGCTGATTGCAGCTGGTGGTGTTCCTACTGAAGGTCTTTGTGTGATCGCGCGCCTAGACGGTGCTGCTTTAAAGACCAAGGTCTTGTGGTCAAAGCACCATGTTTCAACCAGTAAGCCAATGCGCCTAAATCATGAATTCAGGATATAAATCCACTCGAACCTTACGGTTCGATGTGGTTGCAGTGCAAATGTAATTTTATTTCATGCCTGCCATTCTGGAGTTGAATCTTTGTTTCTGTTTCTTTTTGCTTTCTCTTGTTTGATTTGGCTACCGGCGCGAATCCGCCCCATACCCGGAATTCGGGGTGGTGGCGGGATCCGGGCACCAATGAGTGCCCGGGTATGGGGTCGCGAACCCTGGTAGCCTAATCGGCTTTGTTTTTCTTGGTTATTGCCTTCTCAACTTCAACATGGCCAATGCGCCCTTCCAAATTCACTCCATCTCTTTGTACAGGCGAGGGGGGTGTTTTTGGGGGCATGTAGTTTTATCATAACATGTTTCCACGCCACGGCCAATGCGCCGTTTGGCTCAAGCTTTTCAATCCGGCAACTTGCCCTTGCAATTTCGTCACCGCGCACCGCGGCACATCGTGCTCGTCTCCGGCAAAGAGTGCCGCTGCCGAGCGCCTGTGGTGGTGTTCCCGGTGGAGGTTGGTCGGGGGTCTGGTTGGGGTTGGTGTGCACTGGTTTGCTTTGCTTGCTTCGCTGCATTGTTTGCCTGCTTGGTTTGCTGCTTTGTGCTTGCTTTCGGTTGTCTCTGCCCTTGCTGGGTTTCTTTATCTTGTTACAACTGGCACCCTGTTTTGGTTCGTGTTTGGCCAGCCGAGGGCACCGCTTTGCCCTTGGGACTGGGGGACTTAAACAATCTCTTCTTGTTGGTGGGATTGGGCCTGTTTATTCTCTCCCGAAACTCTGTTTCAAACCCTTTCGCAAAGGGGATGGAGCATTTCCTCAGATTCACAAAGAATCCGTCGATTCCGTGACTGGCAGAGGGGATTGTCGCATCCGATCGGGGCCTGGACGCATTGCCAGGCGCCAAGCTCGCTGTTGGGCCCCGTGACGGCTCTCTTGACAGACAGTGACCTGAGCATCCGCTGCCTGGCAGCATCCGCAGCTTTGGGAAGATGCTCTCTGAGAGAAGAGCAGTTTGACGGAAAGAAATGGCCAAGAGGAAGAGGATGTTTGGATATATCCAGGAATCAACGTTCGAGCATCGGGGAGCCAGCTGTTATTTTTGTCGAAGTTCTGCAAAGTTTCTCATGTTGGAAAGGCCAGCTTGGGTCGCAAAGGGAAACCAAAATGGAACGAAATGGACCCATTCCTAGCTGCGAGGCTATGGAGCCGCCATGGCGCTTGGCTCCATGGCGGAGATGGTGGCAGCCTCTCGAGCAACGGACGCCCGGCAAAGAGACTAGGGTTGTGAGACGCCGGAGACGGGGAGGTGTCAAAATGGTTTTGACCACAGGTGGGCACGTGCTAAATGATACAAGTGTCTGAAATTTCTGTCAAAATGGGTCTCTCTCTCTCGTTAAGCGTTTCGGACACCCCGCAAAAGCATGGACAGAAATGGTGGTGTTCCTTTTGGTCTGCCGTTAAGCCAACCCCAAAACAGGACTTTCTCAAGAAGCAACGCTTGAGCCAGTTGAACGTCGAACCAGCCGTAAGTGCGAGAGACCTGAAAAGGGCCCTGCGAGACCACAGCCCGGCATACTTTGCACCAAAGATGCAGACAGATTTGTGCTGAAGTTGGAACACCATTACGTGGGGGTTGATGAAACGGTCCTTTTCGTGGGATGACCATTGGGGAGAACCACAACAAACATGATATTTCCCATTATTTCCCACATGGGAAAAGTTACTCATGGTCATTGGGGCCAGGAATATTGGTCAACCCGCATTCAGCTCGGCGGATTGATGGCGCCCAGATCGACCAGCTCGTGGGCTTGCTGAAAGCTGACGACGTCAACGCGCGTGCGGCCCGAGGACCCAGCTGGACTGTGAACGACGGTGGTGCAACCGTTCTGAACTTTCGGGCATCCCAGCAACCTTGACAGGTGTTTACTTTTAAGCTTTGTACATGAGATCCATGTCGCATACACATCCTCTTCCCGAGTTTTTCGGTCTGAGGAGTCACTTTTCGGGTTTGGACCGTGTAACGGCTGACGGTTTTCTCCGGGCTCCCAGCTCGAAAGCTCCGACGCATCCCCGAGTCGGACGTCGGACGCAGGCGGCCTGCTGCGCCCTGGCGCGCATGGGCAAAGAGGCCCAGCCCAGCGCGGAGCTCGTGGCCACGCTGGTCACGGACATGCAGGAGAGACCAGAAAACCCGCGGAGGTCGTTGGGTCCGCGTCGAAAAGGGGTTTGACCACTTTTTGGGGGATGCCCCGTGTTTCTGTGTGGTTTTCGAGGTTTCTTCTTGAGGTCACCTTGTCGCTTCTTGGGGTGGGCTTTTGAAAGGTTGGATGGGTTTCCCCGGCAAATGGAATGAACAACCAAGGTAAACCAGTGGAACCCATCTATTTCTATCCTAAACTGAACCAAGAAGGACAACTATGCTTCGGATACGTCGAACTGGTTGCCAGCTTTTGGGTATGTCCGTCTTTCCTTCTAAGGTCTTCTAAGCTCACCTTGTCACCTCTTGGGGTGGCCTTTTCAAAGGCTGGCTTACAGGGGAATCAATGGGGCCTCTGTGTTTGTACTGAATCAAGGGTTGCATGGTTTGTTTACTTGTGGGTATGTGTCCGAATTGGGGGACCAGACAAATGGTTGAGAAAGCAGCCTCGGAAAAGGCTACCTTTTGCTTCAGGCTTTTTGGGATGGCCATGATCTCTTTAGTTTCTATCGATCAGACAAAGGAGCGTCAGGAGTTCTGACCATGGCACACATTGACCCTGGAGAATCTGAGCTGAACTGAATGCACGGAAAGTTTGCATGTTGATGGATTGGTTTTGGATTCGGAAGCAACTGTTTGGCATGGTGAGTTTTTTTCTTTCTTTTTTTCCCGGCGTTTTTGGAGCGCATGACAATGCAGACGCTGCGGCTCCAGGAGGGCGGGCTAGCGAAAGGTTGCTTCTTGGATTCTCGAAAGGTGCAAGTTTTGCCCGCCTCATACCAAGTGGCCATGAGCTTAAAGTCACCTCAATAGTGGTTGACTACCTGTGTCACAAGGGGTTCCAGTGCAACCCACGCAAACCTTTATAATTTATAACCATAGAACAAAGCGAGTAGGTTTTGGTCGCCGCTCGCTTCGAATTCACACGGGTATGGGTCAAAATTAAACCACCGGGGGACCGCAGATTCGCATATTTTTTGTAGGGTTTACCCTATTTTTGACCCACAGCCACACCACAAAGCGCGAGTAGCTTTTGGGTCGTTGCGCACTTGGAATTGGGTGTGGCTCAAAAATAGGGTAAACCCAAAGCGGGTTGCCCTGGTAAATGGAAGGTAGACTAAAACCTGCGTAACCCCAGCTGGTTGATTTTGACCCACAGCCAATTCACACCCCGAAATCCGATGGCCGGGCGGGCTGAGTTCGGTTCGTTCGGTGCGGCCAGGAGGCGCCCCCTCAGGCGCTAACGAGCGCCGGCAAGCGCGCGCCCCCGCAGATGCTGCTGCCGCGATGCCTGGGCGCCCAGGGGGGAGTTTTCGGAAAGGATTTTCGGGTTTTGCGGGCGGTTTCTCATGAAGAACCACAAAGAAGGCCGAGAAAACTCGAAAAGAAACAATCAAAACAAAAACTAGCAACCATTTCCAGAAACCACCAACCAGTTCTGGTTCTTTTAAAGTTTTTTTCCCCCACAACAAAATAGGCCGAGCCAGAACTGGAGGTGAAGAGGAGAGGTGCTTTTTTCGTGAGGCAGAAGCCCTGTGTACGTAACTACATGGCCAACCCTTCGGGCGAGACTTTTTGGCCGGATGCAAGAATTGGTGTCAAAATGGGGGGACCGCAAAAAAGGAGTCAGTTTCCCCTCGCTTTCCCTTCAAACAGCCCATGCAAGGGCACACCTCGTATGTCCAACGCGCCGGCCTCAGAAACATGTTCTGGATGGGAAGCCTCCTGGAAGATTGGTTGGCATCATTCTCCTTGGCACCACCATTTTCTGGAGTTCCCCTCCTACTTAAGGTAGGGGAATACTGTTCCCTTGAAAGTTCCCCTGCCACTTTTGAGCTCGGAGTTCCGAAATGGTTCCGAGTTCATGAGTCCGACCTCGGTTCCGACGGCGCCTCCGTCTGGCGGCGGCTGTTTCCCCGCGCGTCCCAGGTGCGGCCATCACTGCGCTGGGCGCCATGGGCGCAGGCGACTACGCCAAGGCCGTGGCGCAGGCCCCGGGAGATGCGAAAAGCGCCCGAAACCCCCTTGGCCATGTGAGCGGTCCTATTACTTAGCGGGTTTTGGCGGTGATTTTTGGGTTGAGGGAGGTGTGTTTGGGTTGGTTTGAAGGGGAACCAAAGGCAAACCTGCTTGGAGGGTTTCCTAGTTTTGGACACATCCAAAGAGGGGAAGGAGGGTTTCCCAGTTTTGCACACATCCAAAGAGGGGAAACCTTCTCAAAATGGGTGGTTCCCCCTTCGCATCATTCCAAGCAGCAATGTCCGAGTGTCGACTTTGAGCAGCATAAAGCAAGCATACATTTGAAGACTCATTGGTTTCGAAGTGGTATTGTGGGCGGATGTCGTCCGGGGTACTGATGCAGGTGTAGGGTGTTGGCGCAGGGTGTTGGCGCAGAGGGTGACACCTTGCCGTTGCTGCCTGGTTGATGCTTGGTGATTCCGGGTGCAGAGAGCCTGTGGCCAGATGGGAGTCCAACGTGAAAGGACGCAACCGCCTAAGTGGGCGATCGAACTCTGTCTCCAATTCGGGCGCGTGACCCAAAAACCAAAATC